CTATTTGTTTTTATCATTTTCATACATCAATGTTGCCTTTCTAAGCCTTATCTTGATTGATTTGCTCTCTTTTGTTCTTAGCTGTGTCTATGAGGTTGTTGGTCTTTTGATGCCACCTCAAATTTGGACATGCGTGACTAGTCCATTTCACTAGTCCACTATCTTCTTCTTGTACTTTTTTGGAAGCTATGTTGTGTTTTTGGACAACCTAGAGACTTATGTCTTGTGTTCTTTCTCATATGTCCTCAATCTTGAGCAAAAATTTAGGGTTCATCTTGCTTGGTGCTTTCTTCAAATTGACAATGATTGATGCCTTAAATTTTGAAATCTTAGTGCTTTGTCTTGTTTTCGCACCATGGTGTGTAAAGAAAAATTCATTGGTTGTCCCTTGTTTTGATAAAGATGTTGCATAAACTCTATCTTTTTAGGGGAGTTTCTTTATGTGTAATGTGTACACATTGAAATTAAATTCAGCCACTTGATTTTAATTGATTTAGGTATGATTCCTTGCAACTTGTGCTTCATTTCTTATTCTATTTAGCCTAATGCATTTTTGTGTTTGTTGGCTATTTATGGAAAGTTTGCTGGATTAGTACGTCAAAAGTTAATTCCTTTATATTATAGGAAGTGTCCTAGATAAGGGGAGTATTTTTTGGACAGTTTGGGTGATACATTTTTGTAATCACATTGTGGGGATTATTTTGCTCAGGTAGTCTGTGCAACTTGATAGGGGGAGTTGTCTTGTATTGTTTTGAACAAATGCTGTTTTGCTTTGTAATCAAACTATGTCATGTGCATATTGTTCAAAAATGATTATGTGACTTGTGTTTAATTCACTTGATTACTATCTCTCTATATTTGCCTTTTTGCTCTTTCCTTATCAACAAGGGGGAGAACACTCTCAACCCCTTATTGCATATATTGCATATTGCTTCAAATTTCTGTGATATAATATGCTTGTCTTGTGCCTGGGAGTTTGGTTGTTGTTTTGCAGGTACTTCATTTCATCATCTCCTTAGGTTTGGTTTTGGGTTGAGTGTATTTAGAGAGTGTTGTCAAGGAAAGCCAAAAAG